TCCCCGCTCCCCGCCGCCTCGCCCGCCCCGAGTGTGATGCGGACCTCGCGGCGGCACCGCCCGCTCCTTCTGCGCCCCGGGCGCCCCCGGCGCGTCCCGGTCCCCTTCCACTAGGAACCGAGGAGACCGGACATGGTGGATTGCCCGAGCCCAGCGGTACCGCCCCCGGGAAGAGAAGGGGCTGTGGGCTCGTCGCTCTATTCCCGGAGCTCAGGGGGCTGCAGGGACCCGCGGGGTCCGCAGAGCAGGAGACCGGCAGGCCCCTGCGCGGGGGTGCGCGCGTGTGCGTGAGTGTGCAGGCGGCTGTGCACCTGCACGCACACGCAGAGAGCCCGCTCCGAGATGCCTTAGGGGCCGGTGCTTGCACGCCCAGAGCCCGACCCTGCTCGCCAGCCCCACGCCGGGAGCAGAGAGGAGCCTCGTACACCCGGCAAGGGGAGGGAACTGTTGTTGGAACTCTGCCCCCTCATTAAAGCGGAGGGTTACCTTAGCAGGCTTCAAGAACGTTCATTCATTTTACTAAGTTGTTGCCCGTTGGCTTTGAGAAGCGGGCCTTTATTATCGGGAAAATACAGCGTCGTTAAGCTAACAGAAAGCAATTTATTGGGTTTTTTTTGTTGTTTTCCGGTACCGGGAATCGAACTCATGACCTTGCACCTGCCAGGCGGGCGCTGTGCCGCCGAGCTAAATCCCCAGGCCCCAGAAAGCAATTTAAATTCAGCAAATCATTGGTGTTTGGAGGTGGGATAGCCACGGTATTGTTTTTTAAAATTTGAACAGGTGTTATACATCTCCATGTTATTGTAAATTATCGTTCAACAACTAACCAGAACGTGCTGCGCAGACCGCACTGAACCATACGCACAACACACAGTTCGGAGCAACGGAAGTCAACCGTCCCTAAGCGGACAAGTGTGACATCATATTGTGAAAATACAGCCAAGATACATGGGCTTAACTTTTCACCCAGAAAGTCATTCTACCCCTGTAAGAGTGTTTCAAACCTCTTCTGCGGTTCTCAGTAGGAATCCTACAGACCTTCCCACTTAATAGAATTTTTGGAAGAATGATGCTAATTCCCAGTGGTAACTCATTTGTTCCAGCTAGGGGAAGGCTGCATTATCCTCAGAATTAAAATGTATTGTATCGCACAGTTCCTGCACATCGAGTGCTTTGTGTTGTACGTGTAGCCGGGTGAAACCCTCGTCCCGTTACCAGCATTATCAGCGTATGGCTCGTTGCAGATATTCAGCAAGTATGTGTCGAATAAATTAATAAACCGACTCCTGATAACGGGAAGGTGCTTTCACTTGTCAGGTGCTCAGGAATCAGCCCGTACGTCTCTGCTTCAGCACAGCCCGCCCACTGGCATGGCCACACTGACACGCGGTGTTTGAGGGCCACGTAGGAGCGGCGGTTTGGCTTCTTAGTTCGCATGCCGTTCTGCCGCTTGCCTGCTCTGAAAGCCTGGGCACGGTGCTTAACCTCCTGCTTTAGTTTATTCCCAGCAGAGCTGACAGATTCTAGTGCCCACTCTGCAAGTCTGACACGAGGATTCAATGATCTTCATTTCACTGTGTCTGGCATGTTCAGAAGCACCTGGATAGTGCTTATATTCTAAATAATGACGTCTAAGCGTAAATATATCTACCTGCTTTAACCCCCCATTTCAACACCTTCAAGCAGTGACTTCCTTCTCACTTCACGAACTACAAAGTGCTCCTAGGTTGATCCACGTTTGTGTAACTGTGTACGTCTTTGATAGATTTTTTGTACATTCTATCTGCCCTTTTAGATACTATCTCAGGAATAAGATTTTCTTTTTTTTACTTCAAAGTCTAATAGCCTCATTATTTGTCCAATTAATGATGGTCAAAGGGTCTTGTTGACTGACGTACGGTCTGCTAACCATCTGATGCTGAAATGCAAAGGCAATATTGAATTCCGCAATATAAGAATATAAACATTAAATTCACCTTCCATGAATATTTAAACAGACTAGATGTTCACAGAAATGCTTCAAGGTGGATGAGAAAGCGTGAATTATATGCCCTTGGGCTACTCACTTTGTCTTCTGAAACCTGCGCTTCCTCCGTGGTAAAATGAAACGTTTTTTTCTGACCCTTGGTTAATTTTTCTGGTTACATGAGACCATGTAAACTACCTGGTCAAAAAAGGTCCTTATCTAGTGTATTTCTTCACTTTATTTTCTACTAATTCATTCATTTCCCAAGATACATCTTTTCAACTGCAAACAATCCTTTGAAATCCTGCCTTGGTTTTCATTCAAATTTCTGGCTCTATCTAGATTAAAACCAAAACTATTGATATTTAACCCACTTGAATACAGATTAGTTCTTAATTTAATTTAATTCTTGAGCACATCGCTGTGACTTCCACTGTATTACAGGATCAGCTTTCTTAACCAAACACTGTCCCATTCTTCAGACTCTCCCATCTCAGCGCCCACTGCTGTCGATAAAATAAGTAAAAACATGTACACTTATTTCCCAATTTCCAGTACTTTATATTATATTCAGATGCTCATGGCTTAGCCGCTCACACCCCACCGTGTGTCTCTGTGGTGAGACCCTGGGGCATGGTGAGGTACTGAGGAAACACCAACGGATTCCAGCGCTTCTCTGCACCGCAGAACTGTGTGCTCTAGGAAGAACTAGATACTGGAGCGGCATGGAAAGAGACGGTTTCGATTTTCCTGCAAAGGCAAAAGGACAGAACATCTGAGTGGAGGGACTTTTCTGTTAGCCTGGGTAGGGAAGCTTCAAATATTTGTGTATGGCTAATGGGTGTACTCTTCTCATTCAGCGTAGAAAACCTGAGGCATCTGCTAGAAAGGTCTAGATAATAAGTGCCTGACTCTTCAGGATTGTTGCCAGTTAGGTTCTGTGCAGCTAATCTATCCTAATTGAGAAAGCAACATAGAGATTTCCCATAAAGGGCCGAGGACTTAGCTCTGACTATATTATGGACAGAATGCTTTCAACAAGGAGATGTCTCACTGTTTCCAAAGAAAGTACAGAATGATAAACGTTAACTTTCCCATGTTTCAGGTAACTAATCTGTAAGCCCAGACATTTTCCTGAAATTTTCTCATTCCATGTGCGTGAAAAACAGAGACAGATAACATAATCTTCAGTATATAGCCGAGATGATAGAATACAAAGGATTAAGACATCTTTATATGAGACAAACTAAGAAGTATCTTTAAAATAGTAGAATCTTCTTTAAACAAGAACATAACCTATATTCGTAATGGTAAACTTGAGCAAGACATGCTTCAGGAGATTAAAGAGTGTGAAACGTTAGACAAATTTGTACTAATAAGGAATTTTAAGTATTAGCATATAGACTGGTAGAAGGTCTCATGAGGCAAGAGTGGGAAAGAGTTCTGTTTTTTAAATAGGTGGGGTTGCTGCTTTCAGGATAAGTAAGAATAGCTGGTGATTCATTCTAAAATTATTGAAGGTCTATTGCAAAAAGCAATGTCTACCAGCTCATCATTGGGTTGCATTTGGAAAAAGAATGAGTACAGTAGCCTACTAATATGAACAAGACTACTTGTTCAGGGAATACTCTTATAGCTTGAATGAGAAGTAAGACACAGAAGCTGGGGATATAGTGGCACAGCACCTGCATGACAAGCACAAGGTCCTGAGTTTGATTCCCAGTACAAAAGAAAAAAAACCCACAGAGCAGATGCTCCAAAAATAAGACATAGAATTGGTTAAATCATGAAATGTGGTACTTAAAAACACTCATATAAATTCAGATACAGCATTCTGAAAAACATATTAAAAAGAGGAGCATTTAACATTATATCCTTGACTTCTTGTTATTGACATGGCGGAGGACTGCATCCTCTCAGGATGGCTTCTGGTGTTTCATTTAGGAAGCAACCACTTCCTCAAGAAAAAAAGGAAGCAAAAAACTAAAACGGTAATTTGAGTGTCTGTCTTTTACGCCCTCCCTATAATGGGCTGATTATCTCACAAGCCAGATGCTTCTGACCTGGACAAGTGGTATTTATCCTCAGCTGGCCTCACTGAGATGTCCTTAAAGTTCCTTGCTCTGTGACTACATAGAGCTTCTCCTGTTCTACATTCCTAATGTTTTAGTTTGGTTTTTCTTTTTTTACTTTGAAGACAGTTATCACAAATCACGTATTTTATTAGTGAAGCTAGCTATTTTTCACTGAAGCTATATATCAACCAACTTTCCAACACTGGGACAACATACCTGACACAAACAAGTGAAGGGAGGAAGATCTATTGCGGCTCACGGTTTCAGAGGTTTCAGTACATGGTACGCTGGCTTCAAGGCAGAAGCACATGATGAAAGGGAAAGTATCAGAAAGCTGCTCAATTCACAGCAACCATGGGGCAGAGAGTAGAAGGGAGGGAGAGAGGAAGGGGCCAGAGCAGATACAGTCCCCCAAGTCACACCCTCATGACCCTTTTTCCCAGCTAAGCTCTATCTCTCAAGATTCCATTACCTCCCATTAATGCCATAAAATTGTGATCCTTCACTGATGAAGTCAGAGTCCTCATGATCCAATCACTTTTCAAGAGCACCAGCTCTGACCACATGCATCCTCTGGGGGACAGTTTAGATCTAAACAAAAGGTATGTGTGTGAAATTAATGGAGTGGGTAAAAAGATCTAAAATAGTTTACAAAATATTAAGGCCAGGAAAGAACAGAAGTGTTTAACATATCATAAACTGTTGTGTTAAAGGAAAAATTTTAAATTATTGTTAACAAAAGGGTATTTGGAACATGCTGGTCATGTTTACTTTGTAACCCTGGCAATTACTTAGCTCCTCTAAGTCTCAGTTTGTTCATGTGTGTAATTAGTTTTACGAATCTTAGCTATAAAGATACTGAAATGCTTATATTTATAAAATGCTTAATGAACACTGGGAAATTATGTGTCAGAAAACATAATCTGCTGTAGAGAATGAGTCATCTAAGTGGGTCCTAGGTTTTCTCCCCAGTAACTAAGTATGGCCAAAAGAAGTACAAAGGCAAACCATCAGTAACCAACTCGCAGCAACTCCAAATAATCACTCCCTGGTTTCCCTGGCTGTGAATACTGGATTTTTTCCCGTATGTTGTGATCTTTAAAATAGTCATTGTTTTGTTAAGGTAAAATCAGTGAATACATAATGCCAGGGGACATTGCAAAGAATTGAAAGCCCTTAAGAATTTCAACTTTTAAAGACCTGGATAGAAGAGAATGACAGTAAAGTAGGGTGCTTCAGCCCAAGAGCTGAGGACCCCACAAGACTAAGTTAGTATCTCTGCTCTGTGGAATCATGCTTTTGGGGCCTTGGCCACATCACTTTATTGTCTCATTTTCTACAGTATCCTAAAATGTGGAAAGTGTCGACCGCTTCACTGAGATACAGTACAGAGCTTCGGCCATCCGCAGTTACTGATCATCGCTAGTTTT